AAGGGGAGAGGCCCCACGCAGCCGCCGAGATCATGTGACTCCTCTCCCATGGGGCCAGGGGACTGCTTCCCAGAAACCCAACAAGCAGCCTGATTTATTGGAGGCTGAAGCAAGCAAGAAGATCCAGGCTGCTGGGCTTAACCCTTCAGAAGCTAGACGGAGAAGGTCAAATGCATGTTAAGTGGAAGTTTGGTCACTGGAGGGCTTGGGCAACTGTCCAGCTGCAAAAAGACAGGTCCTCCCACAAAGATAGACCCTTGCTTTGTTAGCGTTACGGTGGGAGCCGGTGGTGCCCTCCTGACCTCGCTCAGGAATTTTGATACCAAATAGGTTTGGTTGATTTTAGTGTCCTTTGCAAACCTACCTGATCTGTTGGATTGCAAGGTGAAGTTGGGAAAGATAAACGAGAGTGTAGCCAAAGGGAGGGATGAAATCGCATTTCGTTCTCTTAACAGTAGCTGACTGCCCAGCTTCTGCATCTGGAAGCTAAGGGCAGCTGCCAGTGCCTTATGCCAGCCCCTGCCCCGGAATTCTTCTCCTGGCATTCTGATGTGAGATGGAGAGCAGTCTTTTCTAGGCGGAGGGCTGTAGGTCCCCTCTGAAAAGCACTCAGTGAAGCCAGGGCAGAAACTAAATCAGCTTTCACTTTATTTAAAATTAAATGTAAGTAATAATATTTTCTGGCCATTCATTTAATTATTCTGTCCTCCTGTTGCATTAAAAATTACAGTTTGATACTAATTCTGGTGTAGCTCCAGGGACTCAAACTCTGCCTTCTGCTACAGAATCAGCAGTTGGGTTTTTTTTACCTTGCTCTAGAAGACCCCAAAACTACCATCTACTCTGGGGAGAAGCATCAGTTTATGAGTGTCCCATCAGAAAGCACTACATTTTCTGGAACGGGGTTGTCTGTAGGGGTTGTCAAAAAAGTCAAGATGGTGGCTGTGCCCTCATAATTGAAGCCCTGTTCCTTTTTTATGTACATCATGATTGCCATCTTGACTTTTTTGTCCCTTCCAGTGGATGCCCCTGACCTGGAATTAACCACAATTCTCAGTCTAGTTGACTACATTCTCAAAAAACTCTTAACCAGATCAGTTAAAGCATTTAGCATTTAAACCACACGTTGAGCTTGGTTAGGTTTAACTTTTGTAAGATAGTATATTGTGTGAGTCAGTCCACTTGCTTAGGTCGGTCCACTATTCTGGGTGAAGCGAGAAAACAGATTATATAGGAAGTGGTATATACCTATATTGAGGATTTGGCATTGTGGGAGGAGAGCTGTTAGTGTGTGGTAGCCGAAAATCAGGAGTCTGGTTAGACTAACAGGTTTTGTTTTAATAAAATATGTTGGTCTGAAAAGGTGGTACCAAACTCCTTCAGATTTAAGGAAGTTGTATAAACTTTGTATTTGCAGGCATGAGCCTGGGGAAAGATAATCCCTGTTGCATTGCCTGTAATTACAAACGCTTGTGTGCTCACGTGGGTCAGCCAGCCCTGGTTAGCTGATAATCTTGGTTGGGTTCCATTGCTCATGCAGAAGATCCACATTAAGCCCTTGGCATTTCAGTTAAAGATGCTAGAAGAAGCTGCTCTTCCTGGGACCTAAATCAGCATTCTTGGTCAGAGCTGGGTAGATCAATAGATCTGTGAAAGCAGATGTTCTACGTGCCAAAGGTCCAGATGTGGTTTCTAGGATCTCCAGTTAAGTTATAACACATAGTTTTCTCTAACACATAGTTTTCCAGAACTTCTACTTTCAACAGTTCCGCCATAGCCAGGGAACCTGAAAGATCTAATTTGGCAACATCTGGAGGATCATAGGTTGCGCTAAATAAATTTGGATACAAAAAAATCATAGCTTGACTTTCTTTTATCGTGGCATCCTCCTCCCAGAGGTCCCAAGATCCACCTTAATGATCCCTCCCTTTCTCTTTCTTCCCTTGCTATCCCATAGTGTGTTTTGGGACCTGTACTGTGCAGCACCTGATCGGCGAGAGACCTGTGAGCACTCGAGTGAGGCCAAAGCTTTCCATGATTATGTGAGTACAGTGTCTGTGTAGCTGATGCAGATCACTTGTATGGTCATTCAGATGCTGTGTGCTTTGGACTTTGGAGAGCCTCCTGGATGAGACCAAAGCATTGTACAGTCCAGCACTTTTTCTCATAGCGTCTGATTAGATGTCAGTATCCCACAAGCAGTAAATGAAAACCCATAGATGTTTTTATTTAATCACCAGCAATTTGCATTTTGAGAGCTAGAGTGCCTCTGAGCATACAGATTCCATAATTGGTAAATAGCTACCAATAGATCTTTGTTTCCCGCATATGGAAGTATCACACAGGCAGCAAATGCGTGGCACCTGTTCTCAAATCTGCCTGTAAACCTTTTCTGGAGATTCCTAGAACGGTCTCGTATTCCCCATGTTTTTTCAGCCACATGTAGCATGTCTTAGCAAAAGCAATTTTTAAAATTTTTCTTTATGTTAAAGAAGCAATTCTATTTTGGCAGGTTGATCAGCAAGTGCTCAATGCAGGCTGTGATCAATATTAGAATTAGTAAAAATTTCATGTTCAGAGGCAGTCTACATCTTTTTTGGGGGGGGGGTGCTTTCGGGTCAGTCTTGACTCCTGGCAACTGCCTGGACAAATCCTTGCAGTTTTCTTGGCAAGATTTCAGAAATGATTGCCAGCGCCTTCTTCCTACATATAAATACCAGATATGAAGGGATAAGTAGTAGAGATAGGTTGTCCCATGGTGCCCGTTCATGGGCCAGCTGGTGTATGAATGGCTCTTATTCATTACGTCAAATTGAACCTCCATGTTCAGAGATAGTATAGAGTACTTAAATACGACTTGCTTGTGAGGTTTTGAACGTTTTGGTCTCTTTTTGGAAAGGTTTTAAATAGTAGTCTCTAAGGTACTTTGATTTTATGGAGATAGGATTTGAGTCAGGGGAAGGACTGACTGCTATAGTGCCAGTAGAGGAGAGTCATTTTATTAAGAGTGAAATGCAGTTATTTCATTGTCGATATTCAGCTCTTCTATAATACTCTGTATCTAAGGAAGAAAAAGAACAGAACAGCCCCTAATTAGAGGCTAAGCTAAGCAGGCATTATTAAATACATTATTAAACACAGGTTTAGCTCCCAAGACCTAGAAGATAAACAGACACTAATAAAACCAAAGAATTTAAAGGGATCCAATTATTTATTTATTTTAATCCATAATTGGATTCATTAAGGTATAACATTTTGATTCAGTTAGTGGGAAATGAGAAATGAAAACACTCTGTTTAAATAAAAATGCACCAAAATATGTTTGCATTAAAATTCAGTCGAACAGTCTATAAAATGGGGGGGGGAGGAGAGAGGAAGGGAAGAAGAGAAATTACATTTTAATTTTCTAGATTCAAACCCTCTTCTGTTATTCCTTCTTCTTCTCCCTCTCTCTGCCCCCCCCACATCGCTCCCCTGGAGAATATGCTTTGGATCCTTTGTGAGCGAGAAATTGCCTAAGAGGAGTCATGCGGCGTTTGCTTCTGCTGCTTTCCTTGCTAGGTGGCCACGCGGTGCTGTACCGCACATCCAGCATCCTTCCCTGCCTGTTTCCATGGGAACCGCATTCTTTTTGGACCACCTTTCCTCTGACACATGCTGAGGCCAGCAGCCCTCAGCCCTGCCCACCTCTCCCTCTGCCCACAGGCCAGCAGGGGTTAACGTCCTAGATGTTGCCCACAAACTGGCCGTGTGCCGCTTATATCAATATTTCAGGTAGCGCTGCAGGAGCTCTGTTCGCAGCAAACGACTAATGTTCTGTGATGGAGATCCCTCCCATGCTCATCAACCTGGATGATGTGGTGGCTGTAGAGTGCAGTGGGTGACTGAGTTTCCCAGCTCACCCTTCCAACCTGGCCCCTAAATTAATCTGGGGAAAGGTTACAATATGCACTATGTGTGATATAAAAGGTAAGGTGCTGGATGACAAATGGGAAAACCCAGATTTTAAATCTGCCCTCAGCCCTGGAAGTTCACTGGGGGGCTTTGGATAGGCACCCTCAGCCCCACCTACATTGTTTTGTGGGGATAAAGTGAAGGCAGATCCCCAGGTATCTTGCCTTCAGCTCCTGGACAAAGTGGGATATAACTCTAATGAATTATTGTTCCTGCTAATAGCCAAGCCAAATCAGATCTGCTCCTTCCTGCATTATCAATATGATGTTTAAGAGGTTCCAAGAATTTCCTTGCTATGTAAAATAATGCACAGTTTTTATATTCATAAAGATTGGGTCTGGAAGGACCAGCTGTTTCGAAAGCCTGCTTATGAAATCTTGCAGGATTTGGGGCAAGAACATTTGTCAGCCTCACAAGATTCTGGCCATTTGTGTAGGTGTGTTTTAAGCTCACACACCATGATTCAAGCTCATACAGTGTTACTTAAAAACCAGAAAAGGTTTTCAGTTTCTGGATTAGTATGTGTAGACCAGGGTTTCTCAACCTTGGTGACTTTAAGACGTGTGGACTTCAACTCCCATTCAGTATAAGCTGGCTAGAGAATTCTGGGAGTTGAAGTCCACACGTCTTAAAGTTGCCAAGGTTGAGAAACTTTCATGTAGACTAATTATTACGGTTTATAGATCATGGTCTATGGCATAGCATGATTTGTGAACTGAAATTATTTGATTTATTCAGTAACTGTGATTAAGCAAATCACTTAGGGCCAGCAGAGCAAGCTCATCATGTGTGTATAGCCAAAGAGAGGCTACATCTCCATCTGCCTCTGAATAAAGCCTTGGTTGAGCTGAGCTAAAATCTTGGTGACTTCACAGCAATCTATCTGTAACTTTTATTTATTTATTCATCATATTTATATAGTCACCCATCTCACAAATGTAACTTTCTTAGCAATGGTACAGAAGTAATTTGTCGTTGTCTTCTTCCAGTATTTTTTTTCAGCATCCCAGCCTGGTATTTCCTAGAGCAGTGTTTCCCAGCAACTTTAAGATGTATAAGGCTTCCCATTTAAGTGTTAACCCTAGTTAAGGTTAGGGTAAGTTCAAGCCCAGACACAGCTGGCCAGATGCTGCCACACGGTGGGACCTACCACCAAATAAAGAGGAAGTCTTCTGGTCAGGCTCAGCTTCTGGTGTCCTTGTGGACATGTTGATATAGTTTCCATGTCTACAACATGGAAGTGATTTGCCATTGACGTCTTATTTGGACTTCCCAGTCTGATCTACTGAATTAAATAACAGGAGATTAGTTTGGTGCTTTCATATCCTCCTGGTCAGTTTCTTGGAACCATCTAACGGCCACAGTTGGAAGTAGCTTCCTGTTCCAGTGGTTAAGTTTTTACTCTGATCCAGCATTCCCAGCTTGGTACTCTCCTGATGGGTTGAGTCTCCAGTCTGCAAAATTCCCAGTCCGTGAGTTGCACAGTGAAGGCTGGCTCCTGGCACCATCTTTGTTTGGAGCCCAGAGGCATTCTTAGAAAATAATAAAAATGGTGGACAGCTGCTGATTAGCCCCAGATCAAGCATGGAGATCGACTAGGGAATGGGGTAGACATCCTACAAGACTAGGCGATTTGGTGGATGACAAAGCTCTGTCTTTTCATTTTTGGTGGACTATGTCAGGAGCGTCAGCAGTGGATATGGGTCAGAAAAATCAAGATGGTGGCCTTGGCCGTGCAATCAAAGCCCCGCCCCTTTCTGACACACCTCTTCCCACTCTCCGAGCCAATGTCCCTGTTGTCACTCTATTTTTTGGTGTTGTCTCCCCTTTCTGTGGTTGGCTTAATTGCTTGGATATTTATGTCACATTTTTCGTGCTAGGCTTCTGGATTTATGATTTATCTGAGTACTGCCAACGGGTGTCCATAGGAAGGGGGGTCAAAAAAGTCAAGATGGCACACCCACAACCATGTGATCAAAGTCCTGCCCTTCTTACATGCAGGTAAAAAGAGGTTGGCTTCAATTGCATGATTGTGGCTGCCATCCCCCTTTCCTATGGACATGCTGGCTGACAGTTTATCCTTTCAGAAATGGATATGGGGGCTCTTTTTGAAGGGGACACATGTGTGATACGATATTTTGTACTCAGTTCCCACCTCTGCCTCGATTTTAATTTCTTGCCTGAATTCCTTGCCTTTGAGCCTCAGTGGGTGTTGGGGGAAGTGGGTGTTTTCTGACTGACTTTATCCCCGTGGCATGCATTTGGTGGATGTATTAATGCCAGCTTTCAAGCAGCCATTTTGTGAGAGTGCCTACGAGGCCTTTCCAAAGTTCAAACTATACCCGGGCTTGGAAAGATGATAGTCTCCTGAAATTCTGGGACGTCATTCTGGCCACGAAGGGGAGATTATAAAAAGATTAAGCCCTTTGGAAGGGGAAGAACTCTAAGTAAATGAGATGGAGCTCCGCATATGAAGCACCTCAAGGGAGAATTGTTCTCTGTCTGTCTGGCTTCTCCAGCTTGGCCTATTTTGGGCTTGCTGGGATGACAGCTAGTTCCAGCCAACAAGGCCATATTGGCTGGCATCCGGGGAGCTGCGGTCCCAACATGTCTGGAGGGCACCAGGTTGCAGACATTAGTTCTCTGCTGTCTAAATCCACATTCTCTGCCAAAGATTGTGCCTGTCCTTCTCTGTTTTCTCATATAAGGGATAGGTTGTACAGCTGTGGGGCAGGGAAGGCAGCCAAGCGCTATTTTGAACTCTGACTTGGTTTTTCCTTGTTCTCTAAGCCAATCCCAACCTCCCCAGCTTGGAGGAAGCACTAAATTATTTGGAAATGGCAGCAGGGAGCAAAAATCCCGGGGCCGTCTCCTCTGCCTGCCTTTCGAAGCAACAGCAGCCGCGTTGAATATTGTGTTCTAGCTGGCCTCCTGTGGAGATGGGGGGGCTGCAGTCCTTCACTACCCCCCTCTAAATTAAAACCACTTGGAGTGGAGACAATGCGTGAGGGGCCAGGCCGGAAAAAAGGCAGAAAATTCCTGCCGTCTTAACAGCTCCCCCTGGAGCCAAGTTGGCTCCCAATGAATGCCTGCCTTGAATCAGAAAATGCAGCTCTGCCGTTCGCTCACTCCGCAGTGCACAGATCCCACAAGTATCAGCTCTGGCTGTCGTGGCCCAGAAAGTCCTGCAAAATAACTTCAAGCCCACTGTTTGCAGATCTCTTCTCTGCTGCCTGAGCCTCGGGCCTGCTGGAGTGGCTGGATGTGGTGGCCCAGCATGGTCTGGGCAGGCAAAACATGGAGCCCCTCAATCCGACCTCTTCCCCTCTCTCCACAGAGCTCTGCAGCTACAACCAGTCCTGTGATGGCCAACCTGCCGCCCAATGATGGCATCCCCAGCGGACCTCTATTGTCAGGTTTTTTTCAGGTGGGAACAGACTGAAGTTGGGAAAGGGGGGCTGCTGAACCCTAAGTATCCTGCAGAACTTGTCTTCATCTTGGTAGAGCCTCCATGTTCAAAGGCAGTCTCCCTCTGAAGCTGTCGGGAGCCTGGCAGGGAAAGACTGCCTTCCTAAGAATGTGATGCTGAATGAGACAGGCTCTTGATGTGATCTAGCCGGGCTCTTGTACTTCTAAACAGAGGCAGTCCTAGATCTGCCCTGCTAGATATCAGTCTAGGGACAAGAGGAGGAGGAGGAGGAGGGGTGTTTGAACTTAGTTCCCCTTGCATCCACAGTAGAAGCTCATTTGCTAATGGATCCCCTGTACCATTAGGGCAGTGTTGTCCAAACTTGGCCACTTTAAGATGAGTGGACTTCAACTCCCAGAAATTCCCCCCCCCACCAGGGGGGGTGGGGGAGTTTTGTGGGGTGTGGTAACTCATCTTTTAAATTGGAAAAATGTAGCAACCTCTTC